ACGACTCAGCAAGTGCTGTAGTGAACTGCAGAGTGTGTAAATTAGCGATATGGCTGTAGTTACTTGTAGTTACGTTCTCTATGTGGTCACTAAATTCAATTACCAATCCAAACCCCTTCTATAGTCACAGTTCACGCTACATAAATAATATACACTTGAAACAGCGCTGTTAAACACCCCAGGAATCAGTAGAGCACTAAGTGGACCACATGTAACCTATGTAGTTATGCAGCTGGTGTAATCCTCAGAATTAAACAGTTTTAATCTTCACCATTAGGGAGCTTTGTTAGCGAGATATCGAAGTCACGGATTCAGATTACAACCGGTAGAAATGTTTAAATTCGTAGCTTTGATTATTCTCACCCTCCCCCCCCCCTTCCCCAAGAATACTCTGCAGAGTAAACTCACCTGCCTAATACATCGTAACCGCCTCAAGGGGATTATCCCAAGTGTATTTACCCTAAAATTCCTAACTCCGCCAACGCGCATACTTTATTTACTCTGCGCAAATAAATTTCAGTGGTGCTGTTAGTGGGACTGAATAGTGCATTCAAAAGGCAGGACTAAATACATTTCACTTTGAAACGGTTTGATCAGTCAGGACCCAAGCCTCTGAATACGTTTATAAAGGCCACGTATAAAACTGAATAGAATTTCAAATGCGTTTTCTTTGATTATGGAAACATAATATTGTTACAGACTGTTATCGCCAACTGCCAAGTCGAGGCTCTGTCTATTGTTGCCGGTCTCCAGAGTCATCTCATATCTCCTTTAATGCCTGTATAGGTGACATTTATGGTCCCTAAATCGATATTATTGTTGCAATCGCGAAGAATCCCAGAGCAGAATAATTGCAATAAACACCTCTTATCAGTTCAGAAACTTTGGCTTCATGTATTCTATCAAAAAATAAATAAAAATGACTAAAATGTATTATTCTTCTTGTCTTTGAGCTAGGCAAGTAGCCTCTTGTTGCCAGGATGTGAGTTTTCCTCATCTTTCCTGCGGTCTGTCACGGTTACAACTGTCTGCGAGAGGACTGTCTCGTACTGTTCCTGGTGCTACCTTCGAAACGTCCTGGATCCATTCGTGTCTCCTCTCCGTTAACCAATCTCCAGTCCCTTGAACATTACATTGTTGCCTAATGTCTTGCTTCCTGATAATGTCAAACCTTATTTTCGCCGCAATTTCTCTCAGTGTTCTCGTGTTAGGGGGCACGCGGTAGCGTAGTTGGTTTAGGCACCATGCTACAAGCCGGAAGGTTGCGGGTTCAAGTCCCGATGAGGTCATTGAATTTTTTTAATTGACCTAATCCAGCCGCACTGCGGCCCTGGGGCCGACTCCGCCTCTAACAGAAATGAGTACCAGGAATATTCTTGGGATATTCTTTGGGGTAAAAGGCGGCCGGAACGTAGGGCTGACAACCTTGCCGCCATCTGTGAGCCGATTGTCTAGAAAATGTGGGAACCTCAACATCTCACAACTCTAGGGGCCTCCATGGCCTGTTACAGGGATACCTTTACTTACTTTTACTTTACATATTTTCGCTTCAGTTTTCATCATTTTCTTGCCCCTTGGATGTACCCAGTCTTGTTTGTGCTGCATAAACCGTTATGGTCCTAATACCCACATCTTTAGTAGATTCTGAACTTTGGTTATTGACGTAAGATTTTATTTTCCCACATCAACATATTGTGGCATGTAGACCCCGTTGCTAAGCAACGACAGTGGAATAAGCCTTTAATAGACAGTGGCCCGTAAACAGCAAAAAAGGAACGGAGTTCTTTGCGAGGTCCGTACCGACATATTATGAGCAGGGTCAACAACAGCTAACACCCAACATCAGGGGCGCTGTATTAACCAATATTTTTAATTCAGTTTTTCAAAGTTTCTACAGTATTTTTTATTCCTTTGACTTTGACTTGATGTAGTCAGTGAGTGAGTTAGATAACCGCTGAGTTTCAATTGTTGTGAGCTATTGCTGTGAGAAGCTGGTAGCGTAGACCGGTGATATTTCGGGAATCCAGAGGAGGGGGAACGTTCGCCTTTGGAAGCCGCTACCAAGCAACGGGTTGTGAAGACTGTCACAGAATTCCGACTTCCCATGAAAACCCCGTCTATGGTAACTAAAATCGTGACGATATCCTGAACCAGTTCCATTTTCGACGATCATGTAACTTCATGGCCTTTCGGCTATTTTTTTCAATACATTCCTTCATCATAGTGGATTAATGGTACTGGGTCAGGTATTCTGCGGGTAATTCTTTTTCTCCTGTCATTTTTATTCTACCAGCTGCTTCACATTAATTAATCACCACCACCACCATCATCATCATCATCACTGGCAAAACAGCCCTTTTTGCGGTATAGTCTTCCTTAGAAGATTATACCAGATTGCATCCGTTTTTCACTTCTTTGGATTTCACATTTTTTTTTTTCAGAGAAAGTTTGTGAGCCTTGCGTCCCACCGCCAAGCTGGAAGTCAATGTCCTGTATTGATGTCCCCTAGTGACAGGGTGGCCCACTTATACCCCCAGGCACCGGGTTCCCTTTTCTTGACCTACTACGACTCGCAGGGCTAGGGTGGAGGCATTATAAACCACCCCCCAAGAGGAAATTGTTCATTTTTTCCCCCTTGGCACTACAGCCCCAGTGGATCTAGGCCTAACCTCCATGAACAATTATCCATTTACCACCAGCATTGTTAAGCAGCAGAAGAAAATCAGATTGGAATAGTGCCTTCCGTTGTACTACACACAGCAGTAATTTCATTCGTGAAGGCAAACGGTCAGTTTCTCCTTATGCTTAATTAAGCACCACGATGAAGACGTATGGGGAGTGGAGGTATAACTCCACCATTGTTTACCTCGCCATTAGATGTTGGTGACTCATCAAGTTCATATTCCAGTCGCTTTGCCTCCTAGGAAATCGCCTCCCGGTACTCATTGGATAAGAAATTGGCTGGGGCTTAGAGCCGGTCTGGTCGCTATAGAGAAGAGAGCAATGTATTACCCCTGACGGGAGGCGAAACCAGGTCGTCCAATCCGTAGCCCGTCGCAGTACCGACCGAGCTATCATATGTACTGACACACACACGGCCTTATGAATTGAGTTGTTTTCTGTAACAGTAAGAATTACATATTGCGGTAGGCCTAAGCTTGGACTTCGGCGGGAGGCCTGCGGTTCTGGTAGTCCTTGAAACAGACATGTAGTCCGAATTTACATACAAATTGATCTGAGTAATAATCATAATTCGATAATGAATTTGTTTACTTGCTGACAGAGCTTCATGGCCAATTAAAAATCAAAATGAATACAGAAAATAAACAAAAAAAAAATGGCAAAGCCACGGAAATTAATATTAAAACAACAAAAAAATACTGGTTTAATCAGCACAATTTGAAGTAAGAATAGGAAATATACATATTTAAGTTACACTGAATTCTATTAATTAACGGACAAAATATTTGAATAAATACAAAAGTAGGTATCGCTAATAATAAATTTGATTAAAAATTTGAAACATGAAATTTGTCTAAATAAGGTGCAAAATTCCGTTCCTGCCGCACAGGAAATACAAAGCGTCTTCATTACAAAGACCCACAGGTAAATATTTAGGTAAATAATCGCTCTTTATTCCCAAAAACATATGAACGCAGATGCACTCTGTGGACGAGCTTCACGGCTGATGAGAGTCTGTAATGACAACCGTACCTCAAATGATTAAGAGAACAAATTTCCAGAATATTCGAGTAAATTCTTAAAAGCTTGCCGCATTACAATTAGCATGGAAACAGTATGTGCCCCCAAAGCGTCGGTGAAGATCCACCAGACTCACAACCCAAAAGGTAGTATCCCTCATCGTCGCTCTCATAAGGACCTCAAGTTCTAGAATTGTATTAGTTTGTTATTTGATGACATTGTAGCAACCAGAGAGAACATGACTTTTCAGAGAAACGCATCGCCTCCACAGCCCAGAAAACCGTTTTATTCCTGGTCGCTTTCGTAAGAACCTGAAATTCAGTGTAGCTTTGTGTTTGAGGCGATGAAGTAGAGATCTTATGAGAATTGTGAGGCGATGAAGTAGAGATCTTATGAGAATTGTGAGAATATGTCTACATGGCCACAGTGTACATGATACACGAGGGAGGGTCAATAAATATGTCACAAATAGATATAAAACGTAATACATGCGATATTTGAATATGAAAGAAAACATATATTTTTCGACATGTCCTCCACAAACATTGATACACTTGTCCTATCGCTTTACCAGTGTGTCAAATCCCGCAACATACAAATCTTTTTATTGTTGCCTCAGCCACTTCTGTACCCAGTTGTGCCCCACTTTACTCAACAAACACTTCCCGCTGTGAAAAAGGAACATTTCTTTATGAGTATCCTTTGCATTAAGCCCTTTTTTCCCCACAAAAGAAGCAAGCACAATAGATCGCTGCTCTTCGGTAGTATTTCTCAAGCACGGCCACCATTTTGACTACTGAAACCAAGCTTTGAACCTGCGCATGCTCGTCTGCTACCTAGACTGTCATGAAGCTGGATTGTGCTGCTACCTAGCGACACATATAGAAAAATATTACGTCCATTACAGCTGTTTCACTTCCATTTGTGACCTATTTACTGACACACTCATATATTCCTATACCTACGTTTCGGCCATAGAGTCCATCTTCAGGAAACTGATACATTCCTTATTGCTTGCTACGAATCCGTACATTGATCACTGTTTACATACTGATCCGTGTTACAGTGTGCTTCCTGGATCAGTTAAAATGGGGTAAGAGAGAGATGGATAGATATGTGATATATGAACTTGCAAAGGATAGACACTGGGTCATAGTGATGTAAAAATCATATGATAAGTTTGCGTGATGTGTTACGAAGGTTATGTTCTATTGATAAGCATTTAACTGGGCATGTTATGTTAACTAACGCCTGAAGCTCGGAAAATTAATGTGTGTTTTTATCCTGTATTTTTGCAGGGGCCACACGTCTAGCGCTTCTACAGCAATCGGCAGACACGCTTGTCGGATATGTGTGAAGGTAAGCAACATTTTACGCCTCTCTGCGTTTACAGTTTCCTTGTTTAATTGAAATCCAGTCTAATTAAGTACAAGCTGATTTACTTTCCTCGTGCAGAAATAATTTCGCGCTAAGTTACTAAACTCGGAAGTTAAAGAATCCGGACTACTGAAACTATCCTCTGCGAACTGACCTACGGAACAGATTGGCATAGCGGAAATGTTCTCGACTCGTATTCTCGAGGTGTTCGGTTCGAATCTTGGCCGGAACTCTTTGATGTTTTTCATGGGGTTTCCCCGTCTCTGTAGGGAAATTCCGAGGTTGTACTTATATTACCCCACAATCGTTCTTTTCCAGTTCGTCACTCCTCCATCATCCTACCAATCTATTGTTCATAGTCTTCCTACAGGGGGGCGTACTGTCGCGACATTTGTCTGGATGCACTTCCGCTGTAAACGTCAGTGGAGTCCCTTCGAGAATTTAAAGACGTACCTGAGCCTCTAATAGAAATGAGAACCAGGAATCTTCCTGGAGTGTAAAAGGCGGTCGGCGCGTAAGGCTGACAGCCTCACTGCCTAGAAGAGCTTCAACGTCTCACAAGCCTCTTGGCCTCCACGGGCTGTTACACGGATAGCTTTACCTTTTTTACGTATCGAATTAAGGTACAGCGTCACAGCTACATCAGCCTTCTGGGTTTATTACAATTTGAACAGCGTTCATTAATAGCTCTGACGTGCAACATTGGGGCATGCAATTGAATATAACATTTGTCCTTCGTGTAGAAGATTTCATACGTCTCTATGAATCATAGAGTATTGAAGCACAGTTCCGTTTGGCATACTGTAATGTCGTATATGACAGATATGCTCGGAAGAGAAATATTAATTTTACGTAATAGATTTTTTAATTGAATAAATTCCTTACTTGCTAAAGAAATGTGAAAAATAAATGTATTTTGAGTTGACTTCAGAATATGTTCTAATTTAGTCTGTCATAAAGAGTAGTAATTATGCATCTTACCCTTCACGTGAAAAGGTAGTGATCTGTTCTTTGTTTATTCAGTTTAGGAGAATGTTTATGAGCAAACTTCTGTGGAAAGTATGTAGCCCTAGGGGACGGTAACAGAATTATGAAGAAAAGTTGATAATAAAGAACTGAATAAGTTATACAGTCAATGGACGGAGCTTCTACCTGGCACGAATACAGGAAATTAGAAGCACATAAACAGTTTCTCTCGAAAGACTTTAAACAGATGATAATAATTTGGAGATCTAAACGTACATTGAGAATAATATAGAAAATTATTTTACAGAAACAATGCGTAAAGTGATTTCTTAGTTGATTTGCCTCAGAATAAAATCATACTATCACAGTGATATTTTATGTAAATTTTTGTTGTACTACTTACATTAAATTTTCCGTTTATCTGTGTTCTAAGTTTTTTTTTATTTGGCTGTTAGGCCTACCGTTTGCTTCACTAATACGGATTATCGCTTAATCTCTCCTCCTTAGTTACTTCGGATTAGCGAAGGTTTACTGTAATAGGCTTAAGCTACGTTAAGCCGTTGTCATGCATTGAGACTCAGTTCTAGCATTAAATGCCGGTAAATCTTTACCAGACTACATGGTGTCACATGCAAGACGCTAGTATTGTTTATAGTAACCGACATGAGAACCTCATATCCAATATTATCGTAGTGCTTGTTGTTCGTCCGTCGGCACGCGGGGCAACAGCAGGTCAACTAAGGAGACGGTACCACGCGAAGCGGTCCGGAGTCCAACACAAAATTTTCCAACTGGCAGTTTGCCCTCTTCACTCCTCTGCCCGTAACCACAGCAGTGCTTGGAAAACGCGCTGAAAACTGGCCAGCAGTGAGCTGTCTTATGTAACACCGATACCGTTGTTTGTGACACCGTGAAGTCTTGTATTTGGAAGTCCGTCCGTATACGGGGTCACAGTCTGAACGGTGACACCATGAAAACCACTAAACATTTTGGGGGGAGGGAAAATCTTGGCTTTTCAGCAGTGATAAATTATAACGAAAATTGATATCTTCTGGAATATGGAGCCGTGTAGTCTGGTAGGTCGTCACAATGTACTCGTGGAACATTGGTTCCATCGCCTCTTCCTTTCTTTCTTATATTTTCTTATTTTTTCCCCTTTTCTATCCATTTGTTTCCGTGTTTCATATGCAGTCTTCACAGTTCTTCACAGAACTTGTTACTATGTGGTGTCACCAGTAGGCCTTAGTGCTGTCTGTTGCCGACATCTCAGTGATGTATTGCTTCCGTCTGCATTCGATGCAAGTCGAATAGCGTTACTTGCCAACCTGAATGCTATTATACAGCAGACTCATCATGAGTGGTGAGTGGTGAGTGGTGAGTGTCCAGCAGATTGTATAATAATCCAGTTCCGTTGTCGGCTCGCTTTTAGCTGGTTTTATTCGCAGCAGCAGCATCAGCATGTATACTGCAGGGACACACATGGGTTCATTAAACAGCACAGCACTGAACAACAGGCCGATATAACGTCATTATGGTTTCATGTGCAACCAATAGTATTCTTCCTGCCTCAGCGTCGCCGTTAATGGAATAGACGCATAATGACGTTCAGTGTCGATCCTCAATACCAAATATGATACAATTTCGTTAACCAATTTCGAATATGAAATATATGTACCCACATCTTGGCGTAAACATGGATTTTTTAAAGTAATATATATCATGTAAGATTTGAGGTTTTAACGGCGGTAACTGTGAAGAATGCCGTCTTCTGGGATGTGCCGTCGTGTGGATGTTGTATAAACCGACGTTTCGGAGGAACGTATCCCGTCCACCTTCAAGTTGCTGCTCACGCTGGTTCATCGCTCGCGGATTTTTTCTTTTTTTCTTCTACCCTGAAGATCGAGGCGATATGTTCCTCCGAAACGTCGGTTTATAGAACATCTACACGACGCCAGATCCCAGAAGACGGAATTCTTATTACGTTACTTTTATGATATGTTACGAGAGCCTCAACCTGAACAAAGTGGCTCAAAAGGCGTTTCTGACGCTTATTCGCGTATGTGCCCTGTTCGAATCTTGACAGAGACACGGACTTTCATGATTTAAAACTTTTCGTTTTGTGTCTTAGTTCGTACTTCGGTTAGGGCACCATGGCTTCCTTCCACAGAACTTCCTAGGACCCGAAGCTATATTGACATTGTCAGTATCATTACGTAAAGGTACCAAGTTAAAGCTGTCCCTGTGCTTAACTACACGTACACGTAATTAAGCTCCGCGTCGTGAAGACGTATGGGGGAGTGGATATAAAGACCCACATTTTCTTGACCTCGGCACTAGTTAAAAGTGGATGATCACCTTCACGCCCCGGCCGCTTTACCTTCGGGGAAAGAGCCCCATGTACCCGTTGGATAGGCCCCCATCCTTTCTGGACGACGTGGAGAAAGAAAAATTCTTAACCCTACCGGGACTCCAACTCCGACCCCTCGGCCATCGAACCCATAGCCAGTCGCTGTACCGACTGCACGATAAGTAAAATAAAGCAAAGGATTTATATCTCAGAAAATGACAAAGACTGCAGTAGGAAATCTGTTTCCATTCTGAACACAACAAACCTGTCTAGATACTGAATGAAATGTTTAATCTTTCACGTCTAGCGGTTGAAACGTAATTTGTAGAGTGCGTCATTCGCAGCCCTGAATTTTTGTGGAAAATCCTTTTATAATAATACACGAAATTTGTTTTTCTTTGTGAGGAAATGAATTATACTGTCCCCCAGATGTAAGATTGTCATAGTTACATCATATAGATCCATGTATGCAGTAAACGAAAGAGATTGATTTGACAAGCAAATATTGTAAGGTGCGACATTACGTCCAGGTAACAAAATGGTGTAATAGTTTGGCTTTGGAAGTACCAAAACAATGTTAGAAAATTTTAATTAGACCTAATCTTTATTACCCTTGAAAGATTATTATTATTATTATTTTTTATTATCATTATCATCCACCTAGTCTAGAAAACCGAGATTAACGGCCGTGGGGATCCGTTGCGCTGACCATGTGACAACCTCTATCCACTAAAGTTGGTACTAACTTCGCCGAAAAGCGGCGGTCGCTCGGACGGTATAGTTCGCTTGCGGACTACAAGCCACAGATATAGAAAGAGAGAGTTATTATCCGCCTGGCTCAGCCCGACACTCAGTAATCTATTTCAACCAAAACTCGGATTGAATCCGACAAAATTTACAGTTTAAAATAACAAACGAAGTCAGTGGTTTATAAGAATACCCAAAGTAACAAACATAAAATAAATTAGTATTTTGAGAAGCCGGCGTAACTCAGTCGATACGGCGACTTCCTGCACGGTAGGGGTAAGATTTTTCTCTTCACATCATCCACACCGGCTCTTGGGCCCACCCAGAGAGCCATGTAATGGGTACCGAGGGCAAAGTGAGCGGATGGATCTATACCTTCACTCCTCCATACGTCTTCATGCCGTGGCAATTAATTAAGCACAGGGACAACTTTACCTTTTAGGGCCCGCCATCCAGAATATCGTTTCTCAGTGTCATGTCGAACTGGACTAGACAGATTTGAAATTGTAACAAAATAAAATGTGTCTGGTTGTGTGACGTAGTGTAGACCACTGAGGGCTAAGTATATTCAGTATAACTGATTAATATCAGGCAAATGGGACATGTGCTACAAATTTAGAAGTCTGTGTGTGCCCCCTCTTCCCTAGAATCTATTTCTGATGTTACTAAAATGAATTGCATTAACAGGTGTCGCGAGAGTATAAATAGGCTTGTATTTTGCTTTCGCCGTGTTTACCGTCAGCCTGACCCAAGTATGTGTTTGTCTGCGTACTGGAAATGGGTCATGACGCTGGCGTGCCACAAGTAATTATATTTGATTTCGACAGATATGTCATATGAAAAATCGTGTTATGTTGACAGCACCATGGAACTCTATAGAACATATAAACATAAAAATAATTAAAGTCTTTCTTCTTCTTTG